GATTTACTCTATATATTAGATATTATTTTTGTAAACTATGTATATTTTGATATCAAATTATTAATTAATAGTTGTTCTTCTTTTGTTTATCAATTTATATGAATTTAAATTGTTAATAACTTAATCATTATTGTTTAAGACACTGACATAACCCCCCCACCCCATACACACACATTATATAGATTTGTCACCTTAACCCACGTCTTATAAAACGTCATGGTCTTGTCGTAACTTGTAAGGTTTCAGACTTGACCTCGCAATCACATCACCTCTCAGGCCATTTAGCACCTTACTTTTATGTTATGACTTACAATAATATTATATCCTATTTTTAGGGATGACTCAGATAATTATTTTTTGTTAATTTGATAATTAAATTTATACCATTGTTTTTTATAAGTTGTTTCTATAATTTGTTCTTCAAACTTAAACCCAAAACCTTTAATTCGTAACTTATATTCTTATTTTGTTCCTTCATCTTTATTAGCCATTGTTACCGATAAAAAAAGCGTTTTTTTAACTATAAGAGTGGTCTTCGATTGGTTTGAGCTTGAACTCCAAAGGTCAAAAGTTAATGGAGGTCTCAGGTTCAAATCCAAGGAGGAATAAAAATCTTCTTGTGGCCACGGAGATTCAAATGCGGTGACTATAGGCTACCTGCGAAACGGATGATCACTCTGGAATTAGTTGGTACGCATAACGAGCTGTATATCCAGGTTAATTAATAATAAAAAAAGCGTTTTCTTTTGACTCTTCCATTTTCAGAATTCCACGTATAAAGCGGGATTCACTAACTTTGTTATTTAGTGTTTTTAAATAATTTTCTATAATTTACTTTAATTATTTAATAGTATATAAAATTATTTTTTTAATAAAACTTTCTTGTTGATATTTGTTTTTTATGATAATGATCAATTAGTTATATATAAAACATGACGTCTTCAATTAGAAATTTTGACTAAGATGCGTCAAACGTTATAAAAGAAAAAAGCATGAAAAGTTTGTTATAAATAAAAAATAGTAATCGATCGATATATTATCAAATAAACGTTAATATATAGCAAAAATAATAATTTAATAAATAATATAATTAAAAAATTAAAACCTATAATTGATTTTATCGCATAAGGTCTTTGGAACGGATGATGATGATTTATATAGAGATATAAAGATTGTAGGGGGTGTTTGGTATTTGCTTATTTGAAACAACTTATATTATTCTACAAAAGTTCTTATCAACTTATTATATAAGTTAAAATTGTTTAACTTCTTCAAAAACTTTTTATTACCAGTTTGACATCGGTATAAGCTGTTTATCCAAATATTCAAAATTGTTTATTACCGGTATCACATCAGAATAAGTCAATAAGTTGTTTTTATAAGCAATCTCAAACACCCCTTAATTAGGTGGTGTGAAATGTGGTTTTGCTTTCAAACGTAATAAAGTGTGATCCAAATTGCATTATTTTTAAAAAATTCTTGTAATAAAAAGCCATGCAAACGTTATATATATAAAAATGACTATTTTGCATGCAGATTTGTTAATAAACGAATTTATCCTTTAAAGATAAGCTCTTTTTTTGCTTTACCTTTTCTATCCACAATTGACTTTAACATATCAAAACGTTAAATGACTTGCTTTAATGAATCCATCCTACTTTTTCTTAATTTTTGTATTTTTTTTAATTTAATTAAATTATATAATGATTATATAAAATTTTAAATGAGATTTTAATTAAATTTATAGTTTTCCTACAAATAAGAAACTATTTTTAATAAACCAAAATATTTTTCTTTACTTAAAATAATATCATTAAATAACATTTGTTATATTTTATTGATAGGTTATATGATGTTTAGATTTTTACGAAATGTTTTGGACTATATATGATACTAGTTGTGGTACCCGCGCAATGCAAGCGGAAGTCGTGAATTTGAACGATTTTGAAGTTTCACTGGTTTTATTAGAGAAGATTTAATGATGATATAAGTTACACTTGGTCCTTACATATTAATACAATTTGAATAAATAAGAGTTATGATCCCAATTATAGTCTATCGACAAAAAAAATTGTATGACGGTTTAAAATCCAACATACTTAAATGACTCTACAAATGTGTTCGATTTACATCAAGAGCAAATAATCAAAAGATCGAGAGCAAGAACGAGAGTTCTAGAGCAATTGAATAGAAGATGAATAAGAGAACTTTTAATAACTCATGGTGAATATCAGTTTGAATCTCACCTTAGGGGATGAGGAGAAGACATAAAGGCATGAGTGAAAAGTGTTAAAAGTATTTTGAGAACATGAAAATAAAAAGTAATAATGTTCATTGGTAACTTGTACTTAAAGCATTATGAGTTGTTTATCACTTTTAAGACGTTGTGCATAAATATATAATATCTTGTGTATTAAAAATTGTTTTTAAGACTTTTGATAAATCTGGTTTATAAATAATATAGATTACTTAAAAAACAATACGAATTTATACGTATATAACGTCTACTTTGAGCGTTAAATTTGACATAAAATATCTCAAATAATATAAAATATTGAATTGAAAAACCATGATTTATGTATAATAAAACAAATAAAAAGTTATTGCAATAAAGTAATAATATAAAATAATACAAACGTCTCATAAAATACTTAGGGGTCGTTTATTAAACACTGACTGGATAAATTTTCTTCATGAGAAGGGTCAAGAATCTTACCGGGTAAGAACGATGAAAATGATGGAGAGTCTTACCCGGTAAGTGAGGATGACGACTCTTACTCAGATAAGCACTTATCCACTAAATTGTTGTATCCGATATCTTTTGATATATTAAAATCTTACGCATCAAAATAAATCGTAATGTTAACTTCTATCGATAAACGTTTATCGGGTAAACGACCCCGGTTAAAAAAATATGTTGTAGAAAATCAATTTTTTGTATGGTTTGTGGTGTTGTAGGTGGTACTAATTAAGAAAGAAAACTAATAAATAGAGAAGAAATTGGTGGGTAAGATCACGTGTTAATTGATGTGTGTGGCGGCATCCACGTTGGAATCCACATATGTCGGCCACGTAAGCCGTTTCTGGCAGCAGACTGGTAATTTCCCCATTCTTCTAGGCGATGTCTGAGAAGTTGTGACAAACTACCCCCTCAAGAATGCTTAAATGAACAGTTCAGTACCTCAATTCTTAAACTGGCATGCAACAAGATTCACCTTTATTTGAAAACAATGTCCGAGTTAGGGCTGTTTGGCTAAGTTTTCTTCAAGTCCCGTATGAATAAGCTAATTATATAGATTAATCTGTCTGCATAGATTTGAAGAGTTTTTATTTTAATGAAAGAAACGTGCAAGTTTTTTTTATTGGCAGGGATGACTGTAAAAAAATTGTTTTTATACATAAAGCTTTCCTTATAAGTTTACTGAATAAACCATTTTCTATATAATTAAGTCATTACCAAACAGTCATCTATTGCTCACCGAATAAATTGTGGGTCTCATTACATTCATTTATCTGTTAACAGGTCCTTATATCGTCACTCCCTGTTAACAGGTTTCGAAATATTTTCAGTATTTAATGGAATCTTATTCGTTGAAGCATAAAGTTCAAACACAGTGCAAATCATGCGAAAACTGTAGAGAAATTGCTCATGATTTAAAGTGAATGGAACAACTTGGCATACGTTCATTCCTCAAGCAATCTCAAGAGACTTATGTTAGATAAAATATTCCCTGCTGGTTGAATATGGACCGGTTTACAAGTGAACGTATCACTCGCAACAGATATCAGGACTTATTTGACACATTTTTAAATACAAATATTGTGAGTCTAACCTACCGATGATAATAGATAACTGAAATGAAATAACTGTAGTACTAAGGTCAAATGATGATTACAAATCCCAAATATGATTATTACCTACGCCAATTTTGTTTCTTCGATACATCGATCTACTTATTACGATTAATCCGAAATAATCCCTTTATTGTTGTTGAACATTTCTCCACTAGATTCCAATGGAATTTCAAAACGAAGATTTTGTTATTTAAAGGAAATAGTTATTTTACTTTTCCTTACTTCAAAAAGGAGTTATTTTAAACCACAAGGGTGGTACCTAAATGGTTTGAGCTTGACTTCAAAGATCAAAAGTACCAGGAGGTCTCAGGTTTAAATCTAAGGAGGAATAAAAATCCCATTGTGCCCACGGAAGTTGAAATGTGGTGACTCTGGGCTATTTACAAAGCAGGTGGTCTCCCTGGGATTAGTCGGCTCGCATAGCGGATTGGATATCGAAGTTAATAAAAAAAAGTTATTTTAATTCTAGTTCAAATAAAAAAATGTGTTGTAGAAGGATCTATAATAAGTGATATTGTATCATTCCTCAACTACATTAGGGATGCTTCTAAACCACTTCTTTCCCATACTACATGTAAAGATTACCATTAAAGCATCATAAACCATACTTACTATATTCAAGTGAACTGCGATTATGTCCTTTTATCTGTGTGATAGAATTCTTCCTTTCTCGCTCACTAATATTAGTAGGATAATAATCTATTTGTTTTGCACCTTTTCCATACTATTTCTTTAGAGAAAAAGTAAATTATCCATCCAACTCAATCTAATAGCGATTTAATGCTTAAACACTCACTCAGAATCTCTCACAAATCTATATATGTAGATTACAGTGCAGAAAGGATTTCCCACAATTAGTAATTGAATTATACTTCGGCCATCCAACAAATTCAAGACCAAACCGGTAGACGTTACATTAGAAGTAAACGACAATTAGGAAGTCTTGCACGACACCTTAGAACCTTTTCCGGTATATTGGCTTGAAGCGGGTGAGAAAAAATTCACCGGTCCTGAAATCGTGCAGGAAACGGCTGAAAAGGGTGTTATAATGTATTCGGAAGCGCTTAAAGGCGGCTCAGAATCGACAAAAGAGTTAGGCGGATAAAAGGAGCCGACCTATAGAATGCCAAGTAGGTGACCGTGTTATGCTAAAGGTGTCCCTTTGGAAGGGCATTATCCGTTTTGGAAAGCGTGGGAAGCTAAATCCCCGTTTCCTTGGACCGTTTAAAGTGCTAGCTAGGGTAGGACTTCAAGCCTACAGATTAGAACTACCCACTGAGATGGCCGGAATCCACAACACATTTCATGTGTGTTACCTACGCAAGTGTATGGCGGAAGAAGAAAGTATGATACCACTTTCGGAAGTTCTTGTGGATAAAGACAACCGATGTATTGAAGAACCAGAAGCCATCTTGGAAAGCAAGATCAAAAGGTTGAGGCACAGGGAGGTTGTCATGGTCAAGGTAAAAAGGAAACATCATCAAGGGTCAAATGTGACATGGGAAGCGGAAGAGGACATGAAGAGGCGTTACCCTCGCCTATTCGCGTGAATTAAAAATTTCGAGGACGAAATTGATCCAAGGTGGGAAGGATTGTAACACCGGTAATTTTTCCCCATTTCCTCTCTATGTTAGCCTCAAGAGTTCTCGCCTCGTCTGTTAATTTCACGTTTTATTTTTATAACCTTGAGCAAGTTTTCTTTTTGGTCTTTCAAAAAGAGTATATATATTTATTTATATATATATTTATGTACTTTTACTTTTATTTTGACTGATTGGTATGTGTAAGAGTAGGGGAAGGGGGGGGGGTCTAACCACTACCTTCTCCTTGGAAATGATGCCTCCTTCTTCACTTGAGTCTTTACCCTTTGTTCTCTTGGGGAAGAGGAATTCTGAAAGAGAAGGGGGAGGGAGCTCCTTTCTGATTTTGGTCCTATGAAAGCTTCAACAGTGCCGGTTTAGGCCGCATCCACCTTTGAAACCCCAGCCTTCACTCAGCAGATCACCAACAGCTTACGAGCCTGCGCCGTGCTAACCTCGTCGCCATCTGCAGCAGCTGCGACGTTTTCTTTGCTGTTGTGCTTCGCAAACAGCAGATCGCCACCATCTGCAGCAGCAGGCTGCTGCACGTTTCTAAGCAACCATCCAGCAGCAGCAAGGACACGTTCGTGTTAGCCTACCTTCCAAATAGCAAACAGCAAGTCTGCTGTGCTGTTTTGCCGTCCTCTGCCACTCTAAACCTGCTGCGTCTTTACCTCGGTTAACAGCAACAGCAGCGCCTGCTGCCTTCGTTCTTCGTCCCGACAGCATCAAACAGCAACTGTGCTGTCTGTTTCTTTCCTCTGACAGCAAACAACAACAGCAGACCTGCTGCCCGCGCTTCCCTCGAACAGCACCAAACAGCGGCAGCAGCAACATCGAGACAGCAGCAGCATCGGGCCAGCAACAAACAGCCTCGGCTGTGTGCCTTTCCCCGGCGAACAGCAGCAGCAAACAGCTCCTTGTGCTGTTTCTTTTGCAGCAAACAGCCAAGCCAAACATCCCCTCTGTGCCGCGTTTTCTGCAGCAAACGGCCGAACCAAACACAGCAGCCTTGTGCTACGTTTTCTGTATTTCTTCACGACCAGACAGCAGCTGTGCCGCGTCTTGAACCGAACCTTTCAGCGCTGCCTATTAATTTTAAGAGTTGGGATCTTTATTCCAAAACCCTTCCGGGTGAGTTCAACTTATTTTTATGAAACTTTATACTATAGAAATGGATCACGTTACTCGTCTTATGCTTTTAACTTGTTACATTTACATAATTAGTTGAAAAGAAGGATTTGGGGTTAAAAGGATGAACGAGGTAGACCACGTTTTTGATGATGGTTTAAGTTGAGTAAAAGGTTTCATCTCTTGGTAAAATGACCGTTGTCATAGTATTGATGGCCATAAAGTACTAAAATCCTAGTACCCTTAGCTTGGAGTTTCTTGTTGACAAGAGGGAATATTTCACTAACCTAGGACACTCGCAAAACCTTCTTGTCAAGAGAGTACTAAATACTTATAGCACCACATTTAAGTAGATTACTTGAATGTAATGGGTCTAATAGCATGATCGGCCATTTTGATGTTTTGTGTGAAGGTTGGTATAAGTTGGAATTTAGGCATTGTGTTTATTATGTAAATTCCAAATCACCTTCTCACTCCCACTCGGAAATAGGCATTGTGATTATTATGTAATTTCCGAGGTAGAGAGCTTATGATCACGAACGACTACATGACTGGTTTAGGTTGATGTCGGATGGTTTTATACCGGGAGTGATGCTCTATAACGTTAATCTATGACTTACTTTGTGTCTGTCATAATTAGCGGCAAATCGGGTCTCCCCCGTCATCTTCGGATGGTTTGTTGTTCCACCGCGAGTTGTTCAGGTCTAACTGCCCCTTTCTGATAAGCTAAAATTTCGATATCTACTTGCATGCATAATTATATATATACGTTCCGTTATGTTTACGTAAAAAAATGCTTTTGTTGGACTCACTAGGCGTAAGCCTAACACTTCTTCTTGATGTGGCTTGTTTATCAGGTTCCTTTAGCAACGGGACCAAAAAGTGTTGAGAGGGGCGGCGGTTCGTTATGGGCTCTTTTGTAGTTTTAGCCTTTGTTATTGTTGAGCGTTGTGTTCTTTTGATGTCACGGTATTTTTGGAGTTTGATAGAAACACCCGTCTTTAATCTAGATATAGAATTAATCTAGATTAATAGGTTGTTATTTATCTTCTCAGCATTTGTTTTGTAAACGCTACACCTTTACCCCATTGTTGGGTCAATTCTATATCAAGTCCAAGTATCCGTTAATTTTTTTTTAATATTTATTGAGGTTTTTATTTAGGGCGTTACAGTTTTATTATATAATAACGATAAAGAATACCAAAGATTAATCATGACTTGATGTGCAATGTAGCATAATAATTATCTTTTTTTTTATTAACCTGGATATCCAACCCACTATGCGAACCGACTAATCCCAGGACAACCACCTGTTTTGCAGATATTCCGGAGTCACCGCATTTGAACCTTCGTGGCCACAAGGGGATTTTTATTCCTCCTTGGATTTGAACTTGGGACCTCCAGGTACTTTTGACCTTTGGAGCCAAGCTCAAACCAACCAGACACCACCCTTGTGGTTTAGTAATTATCTTTTTCAATAGGGCGAGATGGTTGAGGGCATAAAAACGACATATGGCTAATACCCAGAGTTTGAATCCCTATCTTTTCGTTTCCATCGATAGCTTCTCATTTTTATCTTTCAAATTTCACAAACCTGTAAATATATTTTCCTAAGTAAACCTGTAGAACAGAGAAAATAAAATCTTAAAAAAATTGTAAAATAGAGGAACAAAAAATATATATTTTATTTTATTATTCACGTCCAAGATTATATCACGAATCATTGGATATGAATACACAGATGAAGAAATATTTCATTTTATTATTCACGTCCTAGTAAGCATTACACGATCTCGAACATCATTTATTTCGAAAGTGGAAAACGAGAAAAAGATAATAACTCCTCCAATTTTATCACAGAAGTTCAAATGAAGTTGTAACAAGTCTTTGATTGCCACAAACCGCTTTTTTACCCGCAATTAAATATTGTAAGGAACCCTAATCTAATACGCTCTTTTGCCAAGGGAAAAAAATGATCAGAATCGAGAAATGAGCGATCCTGGACCTTTCGTGGCTCTCCAATGATTTCAATGTTTGAATCGAGAGCTCATAGTATCGTACTCGTTTAATCTTATCAATTGCTATAATTCTTTTGGAAAAATCATGAATTTCCTAGATAGCCATCGTATTAAAGCTTTTATCGAAAATATAAAGCAACTTGCCAAACAAAGCTAAAAGGAAAAAAAAAAAAGAACATGGGTATGACTCGCGTAACATTTACCATTGGATTAGAAAAAGGATAGGCTTCGGACGTTTTGTCAAAGAAAAAGACGATATGAATTAAGGGAAAAATCAAGACATGTCAAACTAAAGATATAAAGCATAAGAGGAATTGTGTGCATTGATAGAGTTGCATTTTGATTTTTTATCAAGTTGTTGATATAAGGGAATATAGTTTAATACAATATCTTAGTTGAATTATATGTAATGATCAATACATTGAGAAGAATTTTAGATATTCCCATGTCAAAATCCAGAACTATAACATTTATAATCTATATTATATTATAAAGCATTTGATACAAACACTTAAAAACCATTTTTTATGCATGAAATACTGTTTATTGAAGCATTTTACTTAAAATTTAAAATTACAAGTAAATTGTACTTAAAAATACAACTTATTAAAGCTTCATGTTTGAATTCGCGTAACTAACTGCAAATAAACATAATCAAATAAAGAATAAACATCTCATTTTAAATATAAAAAATATAAAAATATAATTAGAATAATTATTAAGTTCTAACAAAATACTTAACTATTCTCTTTATAAAAAATATATTATTAAACCAACAATAAAAAAAATGAATTAAAAAATTACACAAAGAAAGAGAAATTTTAAATTGTTAATTTGATATTAATATCAATATATATTTTTTCTAAATTTTATGATATCTTCATATTTATATTTTATTCAAAAATAAAAACATTATTGTTTTCTCAAAACCACATAAAACGTAATATAACATCGACTGAGACAAAAAGAAGGGAACATTAAAATCGAGAAAGACGAAATAGAGATGTATTGGTCGGCTACATTGCATAGATACACTTATAGTATTCTATAAGGAATAATTTTTTCTATAGATAATTGTACTAGAATTAACAAACATTTATTACCAGTATTATTCGCCATAGTTTTATTGTCCAATAAAAATAAAAATGGGGTGCCAAGTTGTACGACAACGGATTTTCTCCTACTATTTAATAGGTTTGAATCCTTTCGTTCTAACACATACCCATTGTATCTGAATAGAACATATTTATTCAACAAGGTTCTATTTCAAGGCCGAATATTGGATATATATTATTCTTTCTTTTTCTAATTATGAATGATTCTTTTTAGAGTCATATCTCAGTTTTTACAAACTGAGCTAAATTGAGGGGCTGTTTACCAAACGCTTACTTGGGTAAGTGAACACCAAGTCACACTACTTTACCGGATGAATATGGTAAGGACTAAGAATTTTACTCGGTAAGAGCGAGACAAGAACCAAGAATCTTATCCGGTAAGAGTGAGACAAAGACCAAGAGTCTTACCCGGTAAGTGAATGCGACGACTCTTAGCACGGTAAGCGCTTACCAGGTAAATTATTGCATACGATATCGTTTTGGTGGACTAAAATCTTACCTGGTAAGTAAATGATAGTGTTAAATTTTACCAATAAGCGCTTACCGAGTAAGCATTTGGTAAACGGCCCCTGAATCAAATTAAATGTAAATGTAATTGATAGTTTTGTGATTTAGATAAGATATGACATATTTCATAGCTTCAGAAAAATTACTTAACCTTTGGCTAAACAAAATACAAAAATCTATACTATATCAGTAGGCAACA